CTATTTCCTACCTGTAGAGAACTGGAGGCTCTGGGGCACCTAGGTGGTTCATTTGGTTAAACATTTGCCTTCAGCTCAGGTCATGATCTCAGGATCTCAGGATTCGCGGGATCCCAGACTCGTGGGAGTTTGCTTCTCCCTCTCCCTCTGCACTGCCCTCCCTCCCGCATTTGTGCCCCATCTCTCAAATAAATAAATAAAATCTTTAAAACAAAAAATCTGGGGGCTCAGAGGTCTTTTTTTCCCTGTCAGTTTGTCTCTTTTAGCTCAGCACCTAGTACTTAGGCAAAGTCATTTTTTCCAAAAACTTAGTGGGTTTTCTATGTATTTGATTCCAGTCCATTCTACCTGGTAAAGCCGCAATTTTTTTTTTTTTTTTAAGACAGGCCGTTCTCTCCCGATTTAATTACTAGCACTTTGGGCACATCAAGCGACAGCAGTACTAGGCCCTTAAGCTTTATAGGAGGTTTGCAAGTCCTTTGGAAATATTTGTACTGTTAGTAGCCACACCCCTGATCGAGTTTCTCCCTGAGGCCAAGTTTTCCTGCAAGCCTTCTAGGTTTGGTCTTTGTCTCTCCTGCTAAGATTTCACAACCATACCCTCAACTTGATCTTTGTCCCAGGTCATACCTAAATTTGACACTCCTCTGGCTGGAGAGGCTTAAGATTAGAAACAGTTTATTTTTTAAGTTGACAACTTCCGGACTGCTTGCAAATTGTGCTTTATTTGGTTCTGAGCATATCTCTTTCTTGTAGTATTTTCCTACAGGCATTTATTTAAAAGCAAACAACTCATACTTTCAAAATTTTTCTCGGAAAACAAGTTTCTCCTCTCTCCCCTGGCTTTTCATTTGATTATGCTGCCCACTGCTCTGTGTGCTTATACCATGCAACAAATCAGTGGGTAGAAAAACCTAATATTTAGATCCTAATATTTAGATTTGCATACACAGACTGTCCCACTTGGACCTTAAGGTCAATTTTATCTTTACCAAACAACTCTAGAATTCTACTGAGTGATAGCAAGATCTGGCTTGGCCCTAAGGAAGAACTTAGAATTTTTTAATTGTACTGTTTGTTTAGATCTCTTCTTGGAACCACAGAAAGAGAAGAAATTACAGAGCAAGATTTGGATATTTCTATTTTGGATTTTCAAAATCTTACCTTTATCTCTTGGAAGGGCCACAGGTGCAAATTTTACTGGTCTGGAAGTATCTGGAACAGAACTGTACTATTTGGTAGCCCCAATAAATGGTGGAGTCATGGAATACCCAGTAATTGGTAGAGCATTAGATAACAGAATGGTTTGGTTCCATCAAGCATGACACAGATCACTTCAGGTTCATGAATAAAAGGGTCTACCTTTTAAAATTTTCTTTTAAAGATTTTTTTTTTTTTTTTTTGAGAGACAGACTACAAACAGGGGGTGCAGCAGGCAGAGAGAGAGGGAGAAGCAGACTCCTTGCTGAGCAGGGAGCCCTATGTAGGATTCAATCCCAGGACGCTGATGTCATGAGCCAAGCCAAAAGTAGATGCCTAACAGACTGAGCCACCCAGATACCCCAAGATTCCTCCTTTTAGAGCTAATTACAAATTTTTTCCACAAAGACTCTAGACTGATACATAGTTTATGATAGTACTTAGGTCTATTAGTGGATGCATTAACTGTGGCCCATCACCCTCCACCCCAGTGAGTTCAGGGCTGTAGACACTACAGACTTTGGCAAGTATATGGGAGCACTCTCCTCTTTATCCCACTGGTGCCCACAAGAGATTAACCTATCAAAAGTGCATTGCCTACCTGCAGCAGAGATAAAGCTAAGATTCTTACCCCTGGGAATCCCTGCATAAATTCAGCTTTTAGCAAGGGGCAAATGGACCAGGACTTCCTGGAATATAGGGCAACAGAGCTATCTTTGGTGCCTAACTCTCCACTGTCTGTAGATCTAACTGAGGACTCAGCTGTCAATGGACCCAGCACTTCTATAGGTTCATGAAGGCCAGACATTAGGTGGGTTTGGCCCAACTCATTCCAAAGAGGATCAGCCACTCCTCAAACTAGACAAAGAGGGGCTCTTATTCCAACCCGAATGTTTGGGCAGGAGGTTCTAACATATTGCTTTATACCTCTCATATCAAATTTGGTATGACCAGTGTACTTAGAATTTAATCTCCCTTGATGGGTAGATATAGTTTTCTTACGATGTCCTCCTCTGGGCTTAGCAAGAGGCTCTAGCTATAAAAGTAAGGTATTGTCCACCTCTAGGCCTGCCCTAGGAGTCAGCATAATCACATATAATCCTTGGTCCCAGTGGCCCCAAAGCAGGTTTTTTACCTCAGGTTCTACTGAAAGCAGCATGTTAGTCCATTTCACCTTGAAGAAAAAGGCAGGGGCCCTCAGAAGAAAGGCTGAGACAATAATCATGGTGTAACTTGTATAGTTTTCTGCATGTTGATTGTTCTCTGTATTTTATATATAAATATATTTTCTTTCACAGCAACTTCTTGGGAAGAAAAGCCTAGGCTCTGGAAAGTTGAATAACTTATCTCAGGTCTCCAAAAGAGTAGGTGGCAGCACTGGGACCAGGAGGCAGGCATTGTGTCTCCACAGTCCAACCGCTATGCCCTGGTGTATGTTATCTGGCTGGCCTGCCCCAGAACATGGGGTATTTACCAGTAGGAAGGGTTTGCCAGCCAGGCACGATTCTCAGCCTTGAGGATAGAGATGTTAGTTGACTGCTCCTTCATCCATTTTCCTAAACACATTCTATCTGGAAATTTGAAAATCTATATTCTTACATGGACGGAGGTTCCCCTCTGTCCTCTTCTTATAAGAGGCCTTTCCCCCAAGAGCCTCTTCTTGGAAGGAGAATGAAGTTTCCTCTGCAGACAGAGCCAACCCAAATGTTTATTCTCAGAACCATTTTGTGCAGCTCACGTGTACAAAGACTTCAGTGGAAATTCCAGACTTCTACAAGTTAGAACATGGCAGAGATGAATTTAGTCTGGAAATTTCAGTATCTTACCTATAGAATCTGACTTTGATGAGCACTGGTTGTTCCACCAAGAGGAATTAGCTGTAAGTGATCTAATTAGTCTACTACATGAGGGCTTATATCAAACATTTGAATTATGAGTAAAGTCCTTCAAATACAATTGTAGTCATTTTTAAAAAGGTTTTTTATTAACATACAATGTATTATTTGTTTCAGGGGTACAGGTCTGGGATTCATCAGTCTTACACAATTCACAGCACTCACCATAGCATATACCCTCCCCAACGTCCACCACCCAGTCACCCCATCTCTCCCTTCCCCCACCCCTCTAGCAACTGTCAGTTTGTTTCCTGAGATTAAGAGTCTCTTATAGTTTGCCTCCCTCTCTGGTTTCATTATCTCATTTTTCCCTTCCTTCCCCTATGATCCTCTGTCTTGTTTCTCAAATTCCTCATATCAGTGCGATCATATGATTATTGTCTTTCTCTGACTGACTTATTTCACTTAGCATAATAGCTTCTAGTTCCATCCATGTTGTTGCAAATGGCAAGATTTCATTTTTTGATGGCTATAAAATATTCCATTGTATATACATATATACCACATCTTCTTTATCCATTCATCTGTCAGTGGACATCTAGGCTCTTTCCATAGTTTGGCTATTGGGGACATTGCTGCTATAAACATTTGGGTGCACGTGCCCCTTTGGATCACTACGTTTGTATCTTTAGGGTAAATACCCAGTAGTAAATACATATTACCCGGTAAATATGATTGCTAGATAGTACGGTAGCTCTCTTTTCAACTTTTTGAGGAATCTCCATATGGTTTTCCACAGTGGCTGCACCAGCTTGCATCCCACCAACTGTGTAGGAGGGTTCCCCTTTCTCTGCATCCTCACCAACATCTGTCATTTCCCGACTTGTTAATTTTAGCCACTTCAACCAGTGTGAGGTGGTATCTCATTGTGGTTTTGATTTGTATTTCCCTGATGCTGAGTGGATGTTGAGCATTTTTTCATGTGTCTGTTGGCCATTTGGATATCTTCTTTGCAGAAATGTCTGTTCATGTCTTTTGCCCATTTCTCGATTGGATTATTTGTTCTTTGGGTGTTGAGTTTGATAAGTTCTTTATAGATTTAATTCTAAGAAGTAACAGGAAAATGGGATCTATGACTTCTTGAGACATCTGTAGGCTCTGAATATAAAATCATAATGGGGGCGCCTCGGTGGCTCAGTGGCTTAAGCTGCTGCCTTTGGATCGGGTCATGATCTCAGGATCCTGGGATCGAGTCCCGCATCAGGCTCTCAGCTCAGCAGGGAGCCTGCTTCCCTCTCTCTCTCTGCCTACCTCTCTGCCTACTTGTGATCTCTGTCTGTCAAATAAATAAATAAAATCTTTAAAAAAAAAAAAAAGATAAAATCATAATGCCAAGAGAAAGAAGAAACGTTTTTCTGAAATGCTATGGAATAAATTCTGTTGGAGGAAAAAGAGGAAGGCTTAACTTCCACTGTTTCATATCACTGAGAAGCAAATACTATGTATTGAGAGATTATTTATTGTCACTCTGGCTCATGGAGTGGTTCTGAAAGGCAAACTCTGTCAAAGCATGGAAGTTCTGCTACACTCACCCAGTTTGGCCCAAACTTGGTATATGCTGCCCATTTCTAATATGCGTGTATTCGTTTTTTAAAGATTTATTTGAGAGAGAGAGACAGAGAAAAAGAGTGCACAAGGTGGGGAGGGATAGAGGGAGAGGGAGAAGCAGACTTCCCGCTGAGCGCAGAGCCAAATGTGGGGTTCAATTCCAGGACCCTGATATCATGACCTGAGCAGAAGTCAGCCGCTTAACTGATGAAGCCACCCACGGGCCCCTAACCTGTATGTATGCTGACCTTCAGTGAAAAGCACTGTGAATACCAAGAACTCAAGAGTTGTTCATACCTCTCCCTACTGCTGTATCCCTATATCCAATCTAATCCATCAATGCTAAAGTAGCTGGAAGCCATTCCACTCTCTCCATTTGTGCCATACTCAGGCTCTCAAAGTCTTGCACCTGAATTCCCTAAGTAGCCTCCTAATAGGCCCCCTGTCTCCGGTGTTACTCCTGCTCACTCCAACCTCTGTCTGCTGCTGGTGTGATCTTCCTGAAATGTAAAAGGGATTCCACTGTCTGAAACTCTCCACTTGGCCCCTGCAGTTACAAACTCTTCAGCCTATGTACACAGTGCAGCTCACCTGCTGTGGTGACCTTCACACCAGCACACGGTCACTCTAGTTAATTCAACAAGCAATAGGTCCGAGGGGCTGTACTGCTTTCTTCTCTCTTCAAGCTTTGGTTTTGTTTCCATGTGCTTGGAATGTCCTTTCTCTGACCCCATACTCCCAGGAGAGAGAAGGGCATGGAAAGAGTGCAAGTGTGGGCACTAGAGATGGATGCGCATTAGAACACGATGTAGAAGGACACTCACCAAAACTGTTCCTGGGAATCCCTATAGAATGGGGTTGCAGGGGAAGTGTTAAGGGAGTGATGTTGCATGATACACGTTTTGCCTGCCTACATTGCTTATGGATTTTTTTTTAGTGAGAATATACTTAACTTATCTCTTTATGTTTTCCACTACATTTTCCCATCCTCACCTTCAGAGATACTGATTCAATGGGGGAAGCATCCAGGATTCTGACCGTCTACAGCCTCCCCACCTCCCCTGAGACTCTGTTAATCAGTTTTGGGAATCGGGGTTGAAATGATTATTTCCCATAAAAGGTAACTGACACCTCTGAGAAAAGCACCAACTCTAGTATACAGTACTTTTTTATTATTTCCTTTTATTTTGTAGTAGCTTAATTCCATTACCAATATACATTCTCACGTCTCTAGTACACTTGAATTATCTGTATGAATTATAATAGCCTTGACGGCCATCTAAATAGCCACATTTGAATAAAGGGCCTAAATAAATCATTGTAAAGCATGTGTTTGTGCAGTAAGTTTATAAACCATTTTAAAACTAAGGCACACAAGAAAAAAATCTATAAATACAAATATCAGGGCTTCTTAAATCCTAAATTTTTATTACTAATTTAAGTACCATTTGATTGATTCTCAAAACAATGGCTATTCTCAAAGTATAAAATAGAAAGTCATTATAAATATCAGCTTTGGTATAACATACACCTATTTCCCTATTTTCAAGCTTTTGACTTTTGGGAAAATATAAACATGTAAGTGTCTTTATAACTAGCCTTTGAAAATATTTATAACACCCTAAAATTCAGACATTAGAGCATCTATTTCTTTAAATTTGTTAGTTATACTTTCAATACATTCTCCAGCTTTTAATTTTATGCCATCAATTACAAGATAGTCCTCTTCATAGTGGTTTTCGAATGGACTGCCTGCTGGGACTTCAGAGCTGCATTTAGTTAACTGTAAAAATAACCATACAATTCATCAGAACTACATCAAATTTACTGGAAGATCAGGCTTGATTATTTGAACAAAGTGTAAAGTAGTCAGTAACTGCACAACCACAGCAGTGACACAAAGAGTTCTATTATGCTGGTGGTCAAATAATGATCCCCATGTGGAACAGAATGTATAGTAAATGTGTTAATATAAGAAGAACTGACTATTCAAGGCCCTATCTCTTTTCCCCAACTTTATACATTTTTAGTTTTCATTTTAAGCTTTGGGAAAACATTTCAATCTATGAATTTTGCTACATTTGTTTTCTACATTTGTTTATTTTTAAGGTTATCATTATAGGGAATACAACTTAAAACTAAGTCACAATTTCTATGGCTATCTTCTCATAAGCCTCTGTATTGCTTAAGAATAGCCATCGTTTGGTCTAGCTCAGTAGGAAGGGACACTAGTAAAAACAATGCAAATATCTATAAACACACACAAGATTTATAACTTCAAGTTTCATTAAAGATAGAGCGAACTTCCATGAAATGAAGAAAAAGAATAATTTATACAAGTATTTTCACATATCAAAAAATGTACCTTTTAATACAAATAATTATTCACTAAACTCTGTCTTATTTATATATGGCTTATCTAATTCAGGTGGATTTTATAAAAATCTGATATTAATTCCCTCCCATTGCTTGCAAAGCCGGGGCATGACAACCAATGTTAGCTAAAGAAGAGTGTAATTAGGAAGGAGACTCTACTAAGGAAAATAATCTCATAAAACATTTCAGTGACAAATAGAAAAGAATTTTGATTATCCACGTGTGTATACCTTTTTTTTTTTTTTTCAAATGTTGCTACTCTCACCTATTGGTATAAGTGCTAGAGAGTAATCAACCTGAATCCTCATATGTGAAATGACAGATGAAAACACTATCAAATTTACAACTTTGGAAAGAGCTCAAACAATACCTGCTCAGAGAGTAAACATGTTCAGAACATTAAAATTATCAGGTGGCTCTTTTGTGGAGGTTATAGCTTGTAAGAGGTCACTTTCTCCTGCAAACACAACGCAGCTCCAGTTTTAAGTGGTGTTAACTTTGGAGGCCATGTTAATTTTCCCTACTAACTTAGAAAAAGCAAGCAAGAAAAAGAAAAGAAAAGAAAAAAAAGAAACCCCTGAGGTGATCATTTCTTTTCTTTTAAACTGGAAATTGTTGCAGCTTTGATAGTTGGTTTCATTGCTATTCTCCTCATTTAAAAGTGAACAAGGCCCTAAATATACTGAACCTGGTGTGAATGCCAGGCTTACAAAGCTCATTGAGGAGAAGGGCTTATGAACCAGTCTGCAGGGGGCACTCACCTGCCTGCCAGCAAGTTAAGATGGTTAATTTTTACAATTCCTCAATGGCTTTTGAAAGCATAAAATATTGCAAGCATCTAAAACAAAAAGCAAGCTCCTGCCTGGTAATATATTGAAACTATGTATTTTACCTCAAGAAATAAAAATCAGAAGTCATTTTCTGTTCTATCACGTTACTGGTTATAATGGTAAAATAGAAGCCAATTCTGTGGCTGTAAAAGCTCCAGGACATCTCTATAAAAATCATCCTGGCTGGAGTTTTGAAAAGGCAAACTGCAAAGACTGAAAACACATTGCACAAAACCATATGGTGCTCCAACAAAGCACACATTTGCTGGGAAAGAATAATTTGTATATTAATTATGTGTATATAATATATATGTCACCAACCTACAGATCTTGTTTCATTTGTTAGGAAAAAATAATTTGTATATTAATTACATATATATAATATATATGTCACCAATCTATAGATCTGGTTTTATGGAAGGTAGGATCTATACAGAGAAAACGAGTTTTTTCAAAAAAGAACTCTAATTGGAAAAATGGCATTCACAACCATGCAATTCAAATACAGGTTGATATTGCTGGGGCCAATTAAGCAGGCTATGGTTTTCAAATTGGTAAGAGTTTTTAGCATTAATTTTATTTTCTTTTAGCATATTGATCTCTTTAACTGTAAATCCTGTATATTCTGATTTATAAGTCAAGAAGGGAGGTGTTTATGGATCATCTTTTTTCTTGTTGGAGTCCTGAATGAAATCATGCAATTGGGCAGTCTGCCAAAGTGTGTAAACAACCTTGTCCATATACAAATTCACCTTTTTAAGCATCTGAGAAGAGACAGACTCCGGAATGGGTAGTTGCTCAAAGTGAGAATGTGGGAAAAGAGATGAAGTAAGGAAATCTCAGCCCTTATTCTCTCCAGTGCCTGCCACTGCCAATTCTCATCTGTAATAACAGCTGACCTTAGAAGTCAGTTTCTATGCAAAGTACTTTTCCTGGTTTGTCTTATTTAAAAAAAATCCTCTGAGGCATGTGATAAGGAACTGTGCCAAATTACACAAGTTGTCAGTGGCCGGACTAGGACTGGGACATTGATATTCTATTCCAGAGTTAGCACTCCGAACCACTGTGCTCTCTCGACTCCAGGCACAGTATATATCTACGTGAATGAATGAGAGAATGAATGAAACCTTAAGGGTACAGGACCTCTTGCTGCCATTTTTCTCCCTATTTCGAGAACAGCTGTACTGCCTTGTGGAAGTGCCTGTCTTATGACTTATTTTTCTCACACCTACCACATTGCTGCTCTGTATTAATCACCTGGGCTTGTGCCCTCATTTTATTTGCATGAACCTGGAGCTGATGTGCTGAGCAATTTGTCAACCAACTTAAAATTTATGTTGTCACATACAAATACTGAATAAAGTAAGCACACACTTACTTAGCCCAACATAGGTAGCCAAAAGAAAAAAAATGGAAAATTCTAGCTCCGGTGTGTTAATAATGAGGTCTGTCCCTACAGAGGTTGTCCCTGTGCCTGAACCAGACAGGGCAGATGTCCTAGCAAGCTGCTCTCAGCCTGGCCCGTCTTTTCCTGACTGTGAAGATCTGCAGTAATGGAGAGGTCTGTCTGCTGTGGTGCCCAATCAGCTACTGTGAGCCCCTCCTCCATTCTTTCTTCATGTCAACCTCAAAGACCTGAAACACAAAGAGCTCCTCCGCTCACAGATTTTTTTTTTTTTTTCAAAGACTGATAGATGTATTCTGACTTTTCAACAGGCTGCTAGTTTATTATTCACTTCAGGATAATCAAGGACTCAAATTTCAGAAGGGAATAGAAATTCTCCATATAATTAAAACGTACATCCAGAAAAAATGCCTGCCACTGAAAGAATCTGAAGTTGCCATTTAGGCCTGATCACGATGACCAGGCTACCTTCGCTCCTGCATTTACCTCCTCTCCATGCTCCTCTATGGGCTCATCAGGTGCCCCTGTGGGGTCTAGCGCCTGCTGTAGCATTTGCTCCAGCTCCTTCAGTAAAACTTCGGTCTCAGAAACAACTAGAAAACATCGGTAAAAAAATGTTACATTTTAATTAATTCCATCAAATCCATAAACTTAACTGCCCCCGAAGAGAAAACTGTCTAAATGTTACAAGATAAAAAATAAATATTTTGTATGATTTTCCCATGTGACCTCTGCCTGATGCAACGTAATTATGGATTTCCAGGTGAATATTTTACAATTATTCCTTTAAAAATGTAGGTGATATTCTTGCCATGATCACAAAAAGCTCACTAGAAGTGGTTTTTGTTTTGTTTTTTTAAATCAGGGACAAACTAAATTGTTTTTTTATAAACCAAGGGTCAGCAAACTCTTCCTGTGAAGGGACAGAGAGTAAATATTGCAGGCTTTGTGGTTTCTGTCACAACCACTCAATTCTGCTGCTACAGTCCAAACTCTACACATGTACCTAAACAAATGAGAGTGACTATGTTCCTATCAAACTTTATTTACAATAGCAAGTGGCTTGTGGGCCACAGTTTGTCATCCCTACAGTAAACTCTTACTGTTTAAAAGGGGAAACCACGTAATTAAGTGGCCAGGTTAAACACAGGCTACTCTATTCCTAATTCAAATACCAACGCATCTTAACTGCTTAGTCTGATATCTATCTGCAGCTATATCTATACGTAGATATATATTTTAAATACCACACTAAAACAAAATTTGTGTGTGTGTGTGTACACTGTGACATGAATTCACTGAACTTGCTGAGATAAAATAATAACCCACACAAGAAATAAACTACTATTATATAACTATAGACTCAACTACTGATTAATAACATGCAGTTGAAATCCTGACATAAATAGAATAGACATTTTTGTTTGATATAGTCTTGTTGAAGTAAAAATCAAGGAAACCACGTGTGGCCTGTTGTTCTGTACAACAGACAGATGGAGATTCTGAGAAGTCCTTCCAAAGGCAACATGATTCAAAGATAAAGGCCATGAATATACACCCCATCATTTTCCACTCTGGTGACAAAAATCTGACATACCACCTCCTATTATCCACCATTCTTTGGCAGGTCACCAAAAATCACACTAGGTAGAGCAGATCAAAGTTCATGGAACTTGAAAATAGACCGAAACAGGACATACGCTTTCAAGCTAAAATATTATCGATGAATATGGAAGCAAGACATTCTCAGCACTAAGTTTTAATCTAATTATTGAACATATTTTAAAATTTTCTAACTAATCAGTTTAGGAAGAGTACATATGATATATGAATCCCTGGCATCCTTATAAACTAAGCATGTTGGAAGGTAAAAAACAGAGATTGTTAATGTGAAAAGTTTTATGTTTCCTTTTCTCTAGTCCAAAAGAATCGATATTTTATTAGTCTTCCTTGTTGATAATTTTCTCTTATCTTTTACTCATAAGAAGGAAATTTTAAAATTTTGCTAGAACATTTTTAAATAATAGTGTTAAATAAAGTCATGGGAGGTTATGAAATAGAAAATTTTCCCTTTCTTGGTTGTCACTACAGTATAAAAGAACAATTTTTAGTTAACATTTTTCACATTACAATTTTATCTACAAAAATGGATTTTCTGTCAATACTTATCACTTGCCCCAAGTATTTTTATGTTCACTCAATATTCAAATAATATCAATTATTTGCCTACTAAGCGCAAGGGACTCGAGAGTAGGCACGGACCAATGAACCTTCCTGGCCATCATCTCTTTCCAGCCAATCTTAGGTTTTCTCTATGAAGACTTCTTTCAAAACAGTTTGAAAGTAGCTTTCTGATAAGCCATTTGCATACCACAGAACCAATTCCTATGTTTAAAAACACAACAAAAACTGTAACTGACCTTTTAGATGTGTCCACATATCTATGTGTTTCTGTGTAATTGCTAAAGCATAAGAACACAGAATTTAAACTATTATATTCTAAAACAATGGTATTCAAAATTTGGTAGGCATAAGAATCTCATGGAGAATTTACTAAAAAAACATGAAGGCAACCCATGTCTACTGAATCAGAATTTTCTAGAGGTATGTACACTTATATTGAAGCAATTTTGTTAATGGAGTTAACCTCTCTTTATGATAGATTTCCTACTTAGTAACCTGTTACTCAACAGAAACTACTTGTGATTATCTTCACACTGATTCTCCAGTCCCACTCACAGAATTGTGTTTTCCTACTTTACATTCTGAGTCTATGGAAATTGATACTGACATTTAATGCACTGTTGAGAAGATGGATTTTGAGCTATGCTGTAAAGGAAAAATGGTACGCAAACATCTTTATATTTCTAAGGCTAGGCTAAAATACAATCAATTTATGATAATGAATGTCATTGCTGAATGGCATTGTAGGCCCTCCATTTTCAAGTGATGTGGAAAAATATGTACACTGCCTTTTGATCAAAGGGTAGACAAAGTAATGGATGACTTCATAAATCAACCAGGGTTCATAACACCGACTTGATTGATGTCAAATTCTGCTGCTAGAGCAATGGGAGGTTTGCTTTTCTAAATACGTATTCGTATATTGTAAACTGATAGAGTTCAAAAATAATTCTTAAGAAACAGCAGTTACAGTAATCTACAAACTAGCTTATCAAAATTGGCCAATGATATCCTCCAAAGATAGGGACAGAATGAATGCCTTTGCTGATTGCATGACCAATCATCTTCTATCAATACTGATTATCTTGTAGTTTCTGGGACTTGTTTCAATTTGTTGTTTAGAGTAAAGTGGTAGTATTACAGTTATTCCATCACGCAAGAGAAAGTTTTTTTAAAAAGTAAGAAAAAGGTGTCTCTTACACCAAAGTCCATATCTGGCTTTTAAAAATGAATTTTTATAAAATAATCTGTGTATTTTTTCCATCCTGATGAGAAGTAATTTACTCTTGGTCTCAATAAATCAGTTGCTATTTTAAAAGTCTTCAAATGTACATTTATGGAGTTTCTCCAATCTTTACTCTTCTACTAAATGTTTAAGAAAGCTGTTTATTTCCTTATGTTAAGGGGCTACTGGTAAGGCTGCCTACCCCAAAGCTGGCATTGAAAAATACCATCTGCAGTAAACTTTCAGGGTCATTTCAATATTGAAATTTTGAAGGCATTCTTTTTTTTTTTTTCCAAAGATTTTATTTATTTATTTGAAAGACAGAGATCACAAACAGGCAGAGAAGCAGGCAGAGAGAGAGGAGAAAGCAGGCTCCCTGCTGAGCAGAGAGCCCGATGTGGGGCTCGATCCCAGGACGCTGGGATCATGACGCGAGCTGAAGGCAGAGGCTTTAACCCACTGAGCCACCCAGGCACCCCTAGATATTATTTTATCTCCCATCTCCCCACCCGCCTGTCTCTCTGCCTACTTGTGATCTCTGTCAAATAAATAAATAATATCTTAAAAAAAATAATAACTACCTTATTTACTTCTTACGATCTTACAAGGGCTAAATAAATATATATAAAGTGAAGACACAGTAATTTTTACAGGTGTTGGCTATCATTATTACTATTGGTATTATTATTTCATATAGATGAATTTTCTTGTTCCTAAGCACTGGGGAAAAAATGAGGTAGAGGGACAATACAAACATAATTCATAATATTCTTTGTAGTAATTTTCCCCCAAACATAGATATGCTCCACAAATAGCTATTTCTTAGATTAAATCTGCATAGCCATGGGCATACAGTTTAAATTATTTAATGATTCCTCAACTTTTTCTATTAATTTCAGAAATCTTCTCCTTGTTGGATAAGAGGGTTTGTACTGCATGTCTTTATCACAGATGAAGCAACTGACACTTGGGCAGGTAAAGTAGCTACACTTAATTAGCTCTCCTCCCGACCTCTAATTAAGGAAGAGAGAAAAGCAAAGGGTAGAGTTTATAACCCAGAAAGGAACAGCAAATCTGGGCAGTAGGCTGATGGGAGACTTTATTTTAGCACCTGGGAATGTAAGGAAAATGGCTCCAATTTGCACTTGATCTAGGACTGATGCTACCTCAAGCCAAGAACTAAAGGAGTGATTTCAGAGACTTAGATCAAGGGATACACTGAAATATGAGTAGGGGTAAAAAACTAAGGCGGGGATAATTTACTGAAAAATAACCACTCTTTCAAGAAGTAGTCAGCTCTTGCAAAGAACACAGCAGACTAGATGTTTATGCTTTTTATTTGTTTGAAATGGGATAAAGGAGTAAAACACAAATCAGGTTAAAGATTTGAACAATTAACTATTGAGACTTGAGAGGTACACAGAATGTGAGACTCCTGAAAGGGTGTCAGTGGATAACTATGGGAATGCATTCACTCATTTATGCAGCAGAGTGATTTCCAATCAATGGATTCCTGGCTATGATGGCTTTCTTCCTCAGTAGCCCCTGTGAGTCAGAGGCAGAAAGGATCCCAGCACTGGAGCCCTCAGCTGCAGTACCAAGGTCTCCTAGTGAGAATTCAGTCCAGGGATAAACTGACTTTTTTGCCTTTCTACAGGAATATCTGAAGTAATCATGTGAGGCAAAAGGACAACATAGCCAAGAAAAGGCACCTAAGTTAGCAGGAAAGTAGCAGCAGAATAAATTTAAGAAGAGATAGAAAGAATAGAATTTTGTAGTGGTTTAGGAGAGGAACAAAAGATTAAAAAAAATTAACTACTTTGTCCTTCTTCTGACTGCTTTCCTTTCTTTTAATAAGGCTAAAGATGGATGGCTTATTTAGTCAGTTGAAACACAGTGCCATAGAACACTGGGGGTGGCTATAAAGGAAAGGAAATATGGCGTGGATAACTTCTTGGGGGTTAATGGGCTTTGGAACCTCTTTGTGTGGTTGCCAAAGTTTCATCTTGCAAATAAGCATTTGCCTGCTTTTCAAGACTAACGAAAATGAAGGAAGAGTAAAGCGCTTTTGAAAACTAAAACTTTCTCCCTGCATTCCACATTCTCCCTACTGTGTTCTAATACCAACGGCAATTAATTCAGCTGGAAGCCCCACGCTGCTGCTTTTCTTCTTTCTCTCCCTCTGGCACCCCGAGGACCCCAATAATTTTTGAATGGAGAGGTCTGGATTTTAATGTATTGATGTGGGTATTTCCTCCCACAGCCACTGGTGCTTTATTTTTAAAAAAATTAAATATGTGACGGAGCCAGAGAAAATTTAATTTATGGGAACAGAAACCTAAAGACAACTGAAGAGATCTAGTATGTAAATCAATACCCAAAATGACCCACTAGCAGTTCTCATCAATATTTTTTTTCTTCCAAAAATTACAACTACATTTGGTAGAATTAAATAGAAGTAAAGGAACTAAGAGCAGGAGAGGCCTTCACATACCCATGTTTTCCTTTGATAAGGCATCATCTGAACAAACATTTTCAAAAGAGCATTTTAAAATAGCTTTCCTAGGAAAAGAATTTGACAGATTTAGTTTCAAAAGATCAATAATGTATACTTCAATGGCCATTTTTTGCATATTCATTGATAATTATAAATTATGAATATATTTCTTTATCTTGAGGTACTTTTCCTTGGTTGGTTTATACAGTTAAGACAGCATGATACAGTGAAAAAACCAAAAAGAAATAATATTGATCTAAGCTTTCATCTGGTGAAAAGCACTAATGATCTACCAAGTACCTTATATAGGCTTTTTCATGTAATCTTCCCCTAAAAAACCTACTAAGGAATTGCTACTCTCATTTTATAAAGAAATTGAAGCTCTGAGAAATTGAGAAATTTGACAATGTAGGAAATGGTTGAGCATGACACAGCTAAATTCTGTCAGACTGCAAAATCCATGCTTTTCCCATGACACTGTATTGCTGACTTAAAGTCGGAAAAAATTGGTTCAAATGCATTTTCTCTAACCATAAAATCTTGAGAAAGCCACTTAGTTTCTCTAAGTCATAAGTTTTTCATCTTTTAAATAGAGATGATTATGATATACTTCCTATTTGATGGGGTTATTGTGAAGTATAACTAAGATAAGTCAGTAAGGCCTTTTTAAAAATTTAATTATTCATCCTCTGAAGAAGGACAAAGAATAAGAGAAGGACTATCATATCGGAGTCAGACTTTGTCGTTGAGCAGGACTCCTTTTAATACAGCACTGATTACAATTCTTCAAAAAAATACGTAAATAAACTGTGTGGTTGGCTCAATGATAAACACTAAAACTTGTCATCAGTGGTTTATCAGTTCATTATAAAGTCCCGTTTCTGGTTTGCACTATTTTTAAACCAAACACCTGCTTCTCATCTGCTTGCTCACATGATATTAATCTTCACTAGTTCTGCTTCAACATATTTGTATAAACATAAAACTTTCTCCATACTCTAAAACTACTACTTATCACCTTAATTCTTATTTCTTAATAATTTATCTTAATTATTAAGAAATAATTTATTTCTTAATTCTCATCATCTCTAATTCTTCTAGAAAATTTTGATGTTTTCCTAGAGAAAAAGAATCAAGAATCAGGGGGAAATGTCATAATAATTAATCCAATGTATATATACATTTCAATTTTATCATAATACTTTTCGTAAAAAAAATACCTTTTCCTTCTAAATTTGGGCTTCTTCTTTTCTGTTGTGTTTTTGGAAACTTGCATCTATAAAATAACAAAATGACAAGTTAGTTCAAATGGGACTAGATGAGTTCAGTAAGATAATGGTCCTATATGGTCCAAGTAATTTAGTACAGAAGAAAAACTCTGGCCCACTGCTTTCAAACAGTTGACTTGGAACACCAAGTCAACCATTTCATAGTCACTACAATTACACTGATCTGCTCAACTTTCAGGAATAGTAGACTAATCCAACATGAGTCCCCCTCTCCCACGTCCACTCCCCCTTCTCACTTCACAAACATATAATAACACTAGGTAAAACAATCTTTAAGCTTTAAAACATACATGACCTTTTTTTTTTTTTTTAAAGATTTTATTTATTTATTTGACAGAGAGAGATCACAAGTAGACAGAGAGGCAGGCAGAGAGAGAGAGAGGGAAGCAGGCTCCCTGCTGAGCAGAGAGCCTGATGCTGGACTCGATCCCAGGACCCTGAGATCATGACCTGAGCTGATGGCAGCGGCTCAACCCACTGAGCCACCCAGGCGCCCCATATATGACCTTTAAAGGAGGAAAAAGAACTATACATATGCCAGAAACATGAGGAGTGCAAATGTATACAGATAGGAAGTGACATGGTAAAGGCCTACAAAAAATGTATACCAGGATAATGCCGAAGGGGTTTGGGATTTTAATATCTAGGCAAAGACAAGATGTGGAGAAACTGGCACCTCCATACATTGTTGGTGGGAACGTGAAATGGAGCCACTTTGGAATACAGTTTGACAGTTCTTCAAGATGTTAAACAGAGAATTACCTTATGATTCAGCAATTCTACTCCTAAGTATATACCCAAGAGAAATAAAAACATTATGTCCATATAATAAATTGCATATAAATGTTCATAGCAGCATTATTCATAATAGCTGCAAAGTAGAAACAACCCAATGTCCAACCTAATGGATAGATAATAGTCTATCCATACAATGGAATATTATTTAACCTTTAAAAACAACAAAGTCATGTTAATACTAAAACAGAATCAATCTTGAAGCCATTATGCTAAGTGGAAAGTGAAAAAGTCAGACATAAAGACCACACGGTATGACACCACTTATCCAAAATGTCCATAAAAAGGCAAATCCATAGAGACAGAGATATATTAGTAGTTGTCAGGGATTAGTGGAAGATGGGAAATGGGCAGTGACTGCTAATGGGTATGAGGTTTCCTTTGGGATGATGAAGAAATGTTCTAAATTTATATAGTGGTATTGATTGCAAAACTGTGATTATACTAAAAACCACTAAACTGCAAACTTGAAATGAGTGAATAAATTACATCTCAATGAAGGTATAATTTTTTAAAAATTTGGTGACATGGAAAAATGGAAAGTAAGGAGATAGAATAGAATGTACCAATGATTAACAAAAGGAACCCAATGTAGCAGTATTACTGTTAGAAAAAAGCATAATCAGAGATAAAAAAGGGTTATTATCTAATGCTAAAAGAAATGATCTACCCAGAAAATATAGCAGTCCTGACCTGTATATACCTAGAATCTCAGCCTTAAAATATATAAAACAGAAAAGAATTACAAGTAGAAACTAATAACCTATAGTTAAAATGAGATACTTTACTTCTCATACAAAGGTGATAAAGTAAAAAAATTAGCAAAGAAACAGGAGCGTTCAACACCACAAATAATAAATTTAGTCTAATAAACACATATCAACCCTAGCACTGAATAATTAAGGAATACATAGCTTTCAAGCCTGAAACATTCACAAATTTGATCACCTACTAGGTCACAAAGGAAGCCTCAAAGTATTAAAGTAATTTATTTTACAGACGACAGTCACTGGCTAAAATGCAATAAAATAAAAACTCAAAACTCAAAAGATGGCTGAATAAATTTGTAATCAATTCATAGATGTAGAATAATTATATTCTCCCATGAACCTATCCATGATAAGAGTTATGATCTATGTCATTTAGATCAGAATCAATTTGCCCTCATCTCCTAAGACAGAACCTCAATGCAACTGTCACCTCAATGTTTGTTAGCTTCTTTTATTTGTCTTTTCGCTTTAACCTGCTAAAGTGAGCAGTTTCTTAGCCCATTTTGTCTAAATCTTTCACAGTTACATTGATCTTAATTTTACTGATCCTGAATCAAGCATCCACACTGCAAGGGTGGGAACAATTTTTTTTTTTACATATCAAATGTTCAGCAGCTAGCAGAGTGCCATTCACATTGTATGCTCAAAAGCATTAACTATAATGAGATGAAGGTTGAATTTAATAACTCTCAAAGCATTATTAAACAGCTTAAATACCTTAATAACCATTCGAAAGAAGTTTGTATAAAACACTCAGGGAATTCATATTATGATGCTAAATCATAGGTTTTTTGTGTGTGTGGTTTTGTGTGTGTGTGTGTGATCTGCAACCACAAGGTAATATTCAAATATTTTTCCAGCCTTGTTTCATATATATACACATAAAAGTAAATAAGGCAAAAAAGTATATGGAAATATTATTGTCTAACTCATTGTTCCACATCTCCAAAGACAATGTAGAGCTACTATTTCTATCTTGTTATTCACGATCAGCCTAAATTATGTGCATATTTGAGTATAAAGTGAAAGAGTTGCTACAAGGAGAAATAAGATTAAAGTAACAAAGTACAAACTACTTTATAGGTATTAATAGGAGGAAATACCGTTAAATACCTACCATAAATCAGGAAGATTTCTGTTAGAGATAATAAATTCCTTTCTACTTTCTTAAATACTCCATAGCAGCCAAAAATGAACTAGTCAGTATTGCCAAATGCCCTGTACTTTCCAGCTCGAAGCCTTGATAAAATATGCTATGATGGAGAAGAGCATGGAATTTGAAATGACAGGATCATGATCTGAATTTAATCCCTGCTACTTACTAGCTGTATCACTTCTGGTAAATCGCTGACCACTGGAATATCTAGCAAGAGTCTGGTATAAAGTAGACAGTAAGTATTTTCTGACTAAATGACCATTCTGGGTTTCAGGATCTTCTTTTATAACTACTGCTAAACAAAATAACTACCTCAAAGCATTTGGGGATAAGGTGAAATTAAATAACATCCCAGAAGGTATCTAACAGTGCCCAACAGTTTGTCAATGTTCAGTCATTGTTCAACCTGTTACACTAGTCCATTGGGCTAGTGTCAGAGTTCTATCCTTTTTTCTTAGAGTATATAACAAAACTTGGCACTTTGGTATGGTTGGACTTACAGGAGTCCATTAGTTTCCCAAGACTGCCCTAACAAAGTAACATAAACTTGTAAAGCATCAGAAACTTATTTATTTATAGTTCTGTAGGACAGAAGTCTGCCTCTTATGGACAGACTCTTAATGATGCTTGTCATTGGATGAGGGCCCAACTAATCCAGGATGACCTCATACTAAATCCTTACCTTAATTACATTTGCAAAGATCCTTAATTCTAAATAAGGTTATATTCTGAAGTTCCTAGAGAACGTATTTTCTGGGGACTACTATTCAACCCACAAGTAGATACTATAATCTTTATCTATGTCATCCCTTCTACTTCTCTTCCTGTGTTGCAACTGATTCTCCTATGTTGTTGAGCCTCATGCTATTCAGAGTAGTGCTGCTGTGTGCAGAATTAGCAACACCTGAGAGTTTGCTAGACATGCAAATCCTCATGCCCATCCTAGGCCTACTGAATCAGAAACTCAGGGAGTGGGGCTCAGAAATCCATATTTAAATAAGTTCTTCAGGTGACTTCTACCCCAACTAGAGTTTTCTAGGCCTTAGTCTAGCCCACAACACATCGATACAAATACTATATACTGTTATTGATTTTACAGAAACCAAAGCAAGTATTAATTCTTTTCTTGCTAGATGTAGAGGCATCTACAAGAGGCATATGTAGAGAAGGAAAATGCCATTTATGGAAAAAATATATTTATTTAATGATAATTAGAAGTGCTGACTGGAATGGCAAATAGTAGAATTGCCTTTAGTCGCCAAAGACATATAATCTATAAGAATTGTGTTTACATCAGATTTATATAATCTTCATAAAGTGACTTGATGTTGCCATTTCCTTAAGTCACTATTCATCTAAATGAAAATCATTTTATTTTTAAGAAGAACTTTGTTGGCTGTGTTAAATCTGAGGGCATAAAATTTTGATTTAGCATTTTATGCTCAAAGAAGACATAAATATGTTTTGTAACCTTCCACTGAGAGTAATTGCCAGTCAATGATCACTGAAGAGCTGCCTATTTTGACAGAATTTCCAAACGTGAATCTGTGCCTTGAATAATATATACAAACTCCTTGTCAAAAGTTATCATATAGAAGGAAAAGCCAATATTCTCATTTCTCTTTGGAAAATCTGTTGGGAAAACCTGCTTGGAATAAGGACGATAACTAGTTTTATGCATCATTGTAAATGATGGTTATTACTTAATCTGAGTATCTGGAGAGTACAAATAATAAAGTTAAGTCTTTGGGCCTACATATGATTGTTTTCACTCTTCTTTGAAAAGGGGGGAAATTAAAATAATCATTTTCTAGCCCTATTTTAAACCAGACTTTAACAGAGAGAATACAAATCTAGTGCTGCTTACATAAATGTCACTCAATTACCATATGCTCCAGTCCAGTCATTCTTAGTAGAGCTCAATATTCCTGCGAGATTTGGACAGTATCAGAGATCAGTGCCTGGCAATATGACTTATAAATATCTTGCTGTCCCCTGCACTACCTTTAGCCATGTGTAAGTTCTCACTAAAGTACTGTGGATTTCTCTGCTTTGAGGGGCTTAGCAGAGAAAACAGTGGAGTCTGTATTCAAGCAGTGAGCTGAGACAGAGGAGAGTATTTTCCCTAAAAATAGAAGTTGACCACTAGACCACCTTAAGTAGAAGGCATGAAAGACTTTCTATTAACACCTCCCAATCCTTGCTGAGGATACAAGTAACAGCACACTTCAAGAAATTCTATGATTAGCTACATCACTGATAATTT